TTCCATTGGATGTTCTTTCCTGCTTTGTCAAAGATGAGTTGGCCATACGTTTGTGGGTCTAGTTCTGGGGTTTCTATTCTATTCCATTGGTCTATGTGTCTGTTTTTTTGCCAATACCATGCTGTCTTGATGATGACAGCTTTGTAGTAGAGGCTAAAGTCTGGGATTGTGATGCCTCCTGCTTTGGTCTTCTTCTTCAAAATTACTTTGGCTATTCGGGGCCTTTTGTGGTTCCATATGAATTTGAGGATTGCTTGTTCTAGTTTCGAGAAGAATGCTGGTGCAATTTTGATTGGGATTGCATTGAATGTGTAGATAGCTTTGGGTAGTATTGACATTTTGACAATATTTATTCTTCCAATCCATGAGCAGGGAATGTCTTTCCATTTCTTTATATCTTCTTCAATTACCTTCATAAGCTTTCTATAGTTTTCAGCATACAGATCCTTTACATCTTTGGTTAGATTTATTCCTAGGTATTTTATGCTTCTTGGTGCAATTGTGAATGGGATCAGTTTCTTTATTTGTCTTTCTGTTGCTTCATTGTTAGTGTATAAGAATGCAACTGATTTCTGTACATTGATTTTGTATCCTGCAACTTTGCTGAATTCATGTATCAGTTCTAGCAGACTTTTGGTGGAGTCTGTCGGATTTTCCATGTATAATATCATGTCATCTGCAAAAAGCGAAAGCTTGACTTCATCTTTGCCAATTTTGATGCCTTTGATTTCCTTTTGTTGTCTGATTGCTGATGCTAGAACTTTCAGCACTATGTTAAACAACAGCAGTGAGAGTGGGCATCCCTGTCGTGTTCCTGATCTCAGGGAAAAAGCTCTCAGTTTTTCCCCATTGAGGATGATGTTAGCTGTGGGCTTTTCATAAATGGCTTTTATGATGTGTAAGTATGTTCCTTCTATCCCGACTTTCTCAAGGGTTTTTATTAAGAAAGGGTGCTGGATTTTGTCAACGGCCTTTTCTGCATCGATTGACAGGATCATATGGTTCTTACCTTTTCTTTTATTAATGTGATGTATCATGTTGATTGATTTGCGAATGTTGAACCAGCCCTGCATCCCAGGAATGAATCCCACTTGATCATGGTGAATAATTCTTTTTATATGCTGTTGAATTCGATTTGCTAGTATCTTATTGAGAATTTTTGCATCCATATTCAGCAGGGATATTGGCCTGTAGTTCTCTTTTTTTTACTGGGTCTCTGTCTGGTTTAGGAATCAACGTAATACTGGCTTCATAGAATGAGTCTGGAAGTTTTCCTTCCCTTTCTATTTCTTGGAATAGCTTGAGAAGGATAGGTATTATCTCTGCTTTAAACGTCTGGTAGAACTCCCCTGGGAAGCCATCTGGTCCTGGACTCTTATTTGTTGGGAGATTTTTGATAACCGATTCAATTTCTTCGCTGGTGATGGGTCTTGTTCAAGCTTTCTATTTCCTCCTGATTGAGTTTTGGAAGAGTGTGGGTGTTCAGGAATTTATCCATTTCTTCCAGGTTGTCCAATTTGTTGGCATATAATTTTTCATAGTATTCCCTGATAATTGTTTGTATCTCTGAGGGATTGGTTGTAATCATTCCATTTTCATTCATGATTTTATCTATTTGGGTCATCCCCCTTTTCTTTTTTGAGAAGCCTGGCTAGAGGTTTGTCAATTTTGTTTATTTTTTCAAAAAACCAACTCTTGGTTTCGTTGATCTGCTCTACAGTTTTTTTAGATTCTATATTGTTTATTTCTGCTCTGATCTTTATTATTTCTCTTCTTCTGCTGGGTTTAGGCTGCCTTTGCTGTTCTGCTTCTATTTCCTTTAGGTGTGCTGTTAGATTTTGTATTTGGGATTTTTCTTGTTTCTTGAGATAGGCCTGGATTGCAATGTATTTTCCTCTCAGGACTGCCTTCGCTGCGTCCCAAAGCGTTTGGATTGTTGTATTTTCATTTTCGTTTGTTTCCATATATTTTTAAATTTCTTCTCTAATTGCCTGATTGACCCACTCATTCGTTAGTAGAGTGTTCTTTAACCTCCATGCTTTTGGAGGTTTTCCAGACTTTTTTCTGTGGTTGATTTCAAGCTTCATAGCATTGCGGTATGAAAGTATGCATGGTATGATTTCAATTCTTGTAAACTTATGAAGGGCTGTTTTGTGACCCAGTATATGATCTATCTTGGAGAATGTTCCATGTGCACTCGAGAAGAAAGTATATTCTGTTGCTTTGGGATGCAGAGTTCTAAATATATCTGTCAAGTCCATCTGATCCAATGTCTCATTCAGGGCCCTTGTTTCTTTATTGACTGTGTGTCTAGATGGTCTATCCATTTCTGTAAGTGGGGTGTTAAAGTCCCCTGCAATGACCACATTCTTCTCAATAAGGTTGCTTATGTTTATGAGTAATTGTTTTATGTATTTGGGCGCTCTGGTATTCGGCGCATAGACATTTATAATTTTAGCTCTTCCTGATGGATAGACCCTGTCACTATTATATAATGTCCTTCTTCATCTCTTGTTACAGCCTTTAATTTAAAGTCTAGTTTGTCTGATATAAGTATGGCTACTCCAGCTTTCTTTTGGCTTCCAGTAGCATGATAAATAGTTCTCCATCCCCTCACTCTCAATCTAAAGGTGTCCTCAGGTCTAAAATGAGTCTCTTGTAGACAGCAAATAGATGGGTCTTGTTTTTTAATCCATTCTGATACCCTATGTCTTTTGGTTGGCGCATTTAATCCATTTACATTCAGTGTTATTATAGAAAGATGTGGGTTTAGAGTCATTGTGATGTCTGTATGTTTTATGCTTGTAGTGATGTCTCTGGTACTTTGTCTCACAGGGTCCCCCTTAGGATCTCTTGTAGGGCTGGTTTAGTGGTGACAAATTCCTTCAGTTTTTGTTTGTTTGGGAAGACCTTTATCTCTCCTTCTATTCTAAATGACAGACTTGCTGGATAAAGGATTCTCAGCTGCATATTTTTTCTGTCTAGCAAACTGAAAATCTCGTGCCAACTCTTTCTGGCCTGCCAAGTTTCAAAAGAGAGATCAGTCACGAGTCTTATAGGTCTCCCTTTATATGTGAGGGCACGTTTACCCCTTGCTGCTTTCAGAATTTTCTCTTTATCTTTGTATTTTGCCAGTTTCACTATGATATGTCATGCAGAAGTTTGATTCAAGTTACGTCTGAAGGGAGTTCTCTGTGCCTCTTGGATTTCAATGCCTTTTTCCTTCCCCACTTCAGGGAAGTTCTCAGCTATGATTTCTTCAAGTACCCCTTCAGCACCTTTCCCTCTCTCGTCCTCCTCTGGGATACCAATTATGCGTATATTATTTCTTTTTAGTGTATCACTTAGTTCTCTAATTTTCCCCTCATACTCCTGGATTTTTTTATCTCTCTTTTTCTCAGCTTCCTTTTTCCATAACTTTATCTTCTAGTTCACCTATTCTCTCCTCTGCCTCTTCAATCCGAGCCGTCGTCGTTTCCATGTTGTTTTGCATTTCGTTTAAAGCGTTTTTCAGCTCCTCGTGACTGTTCCTTAGTCCCTTGATCCCTGTAGCAAGAGATTCTCTGCTGTCCTCTATACTGTTTTCAAGCCCAGTGATTAATTTTATGACTATTATTCTAAATTCACTTTCTGTTATATTATTTAAATCCTTTTTGATCAGCTCATTAGCTGTTGTTATTTCCTGGAGATTCTTCTGAGGGGAATTCTTCCGCTTGGTCATTTTGGATAGTCCCTGGCGTGGTGAGGACCTGCAGGGCACTTCCCCTGTGCTGTGGTATATAACTGGAGTTGGTGGGCGGGTCCGCAGTCCGACCTGACATCTGCCCCCAGCCCACCGCTGGGGCCACAGTCAGACTGGTGTGTGTCTTCTCTTCCCCTCTCCTACGGGCGGGATTCACTGTGGGGTGGCGTGGCTCGTCTGGGCTACTTGCACACTGCCAGGCTTGTGATGCTGGGGATCTGGCGTATTAGCTGGGGTGGGTCAGCAAGGTGCACGGGGGCAGGAGGGGCAGACTTAGCTCGCTTCTCCTTAGGTGATCCACTTCAGGAGGGGCCCTGTGGCAGCAGGAGGGAGTCAGATCCGCTGCCGGAGGTTTGGCTCCGCAGAAGCACAGAGTTGGGTGTTTGCGCGGAGTGAGCAAGTTCCCTGGCAGGAACTGGTTCTCTTTGGGATTTTGGCTGGGGGATGGGCGGGGGAGATGGCGCTGGCGAGCGCCTTTGTTCCCCACCAAACTGAGCTCTGTCGTCAGGGGGCTCAGCGGCTCTCCTTCCCTTTGTCCTCCAGCCTTCCCGCTTTCTGAGCAGAGCTGTTAACTTATGACCTCCCAGACGCTAAGTCGCGCTTGCTGTCGGAACTCAGTCCGTCAGGCCCCTCCGCTTTTGCCAGCCAGACTCGGGGGCTCTGCCTGGCCGGCGAACCGCCCCTCCACCCTGGCTCCCTCCCGCCGGTCCGTGGAGCGCGCACCGCCTCGTCCCCCTTCCTACCCTCTTCCGTGGGCCCCTCGTCTGCGCTTGGCTCTGGAGACTCCGTTCTGCTAATCCTCTGGCGGTTTTCTGGTTAGTTAGGCAGGTGTAGGTGGAATCTAAGTGATCAGCAGGACGCGTGGTGAGCCCAGCGTCCTCCTACGCCGCCATCTTCTGTATATAGTTCATTCTAATAGAATATATGAAGAGACAGTTTCCATGGAGAGAAACAAATAAGGTAATGTCCCGACTGATGAGATCAAGGAAGAATTCATTAAGTATGGTGGAAGAGACAGCAACATGAAAATTCTTTTATACTATATTGAAGGGTAATGTGTACTGTACATTTAGTTGTTGATATATATAAAGAAAACCAATACTAGTATTTCATGTTGTTTTTCCCTGTAACAAATCTATTTGTACATACTCAAATTGTCACTAATTGGGTAGTTAATCATGTAAGCCATGAAATTTGTCCATCTTGAAACATTTACCCAGTAATTGAAACGTTGGTTTTTTTTTTTTTTTCCTCCCAGGTTATTTCATTTTTGGCTGCAGTTTTGCATAAAAAGGGAACTCGTGAGGATATTGAAAACAACATGCCAGAGTTTTTACTAAGAAGTATGAAAAAGGAAACCCCTTCTATAGCAAAAAAGGTAAGATGTTTAGAAGAATACATCTATTGAAGCTGGTATTAGAAAAGTATGTAGAAACTTATAAACATCACACATTATAGTATAAATTTAAAACATAGAATCTAAAGACATTGTTAAAATACTTGTTCTATAGGCCTAATTCTTGAAGGATTATCAATTTCATCCTCAAATTAAGTATGATTGACTCTCAAAATGGGAAAGTACAATTTTAGCTTAAATTGTTTAGAGGGTTTCAGTCTTTTCCTTGGCTGGATTTACAGGACTTACTTTCATTAATTTGTTAAATTTCCATTGTTGTGTATGTAAAGTTCATTGAAGTCTATTATCCTGTTTTTTATTTATGGGAGAATGAAAGGAAGACAGTTGTAGATGTTGCTAACAAAGGTATGTTAACTGGTAAAGTTGTTAGCAGAGTAATTACATCCTGAAAATATGTAACAAGTTCTTCCTATATCAGGACCATTGAAGTTGGAGTCCGAACAATTAAGGTCTTAACTTATCTTTGCCCATGTGACTATAAATGCTCTTCATAGCTGTACATCAGCTTTCTCCTCTATAAATATATGTTTATAGATATCTCATATATGACTCATAAAAATAATATATTTCTAATAAAATAATGAAAGAAAAAGGTGTACTTTTGTGTCTGACTTTTATGTTCTCAGCACCAGGAAACTGGATAGAAATAAAGATGAAGTGATTTTATGAAATCTTTGTTATATTATGGTAATGAATCACTTTCCACAAGTTTTAAAACAGTCTCATCCATACGTCTTATATATACATAAGATTGTTGAGAAGACCAATTTACTCTTGTCTATCAGTGGGGCAATTTTGTGCAAAATTTTGAGAAGTAATGGCTTATGGTATTATTATTACTTTAAATTTTTTATTATTTTTAATATTATAAATACATCCTATGTCAAATTTAATTTCTTTTTTTAAAACATATTCTTGATGTGTTTTAAATCTTCTAGAGTTCAAGTCCTGTTTTTAGTTGTTATTTGATTCTAAATATCAGTGCAGAGTTTATGAATATCTTATGTCAGTTGTGATAATTAGCAGACAGAGTAAACAGCAGGGAAAAGTAATACTTTAAGTATTTAAAGATATTTATATGTAATGTGTATTTGTAATATATATTTATTTAAATTTATATATTTATATAGGCACATATATATACACTGGTATTTTTCTATCTCCTTCAGTTCAATTCTTAATTATTTATTTTTCATTTTTCTTATATTCTAATAAATTTCATTAAAGCTGTAAATGTTTTTTTGAGTACTACTTTGGCTGCATTCCATAGTTTTTACTATGTAGTCTTTCAGTATTCTTTTCTAAATTATCTGTGACTCCAGTTATAGCTTTTACTCAAGTACTATTTAATGCAAAGTTTAGGGGCAGCTGTGTGACTCTGTTGGTTAAGGGTCCGACTTTGGCTCAGGTCATGATCTTGCCTGTGCACAGCCTGCTTGGGATTCTCTCTCTCCCGCTCTCTGCCCCTCCCCCACTCACACTTTTTCTCTCTCTCCCAAAATAAATAAATAAACTTAAAAAAAATAAAGCAAAGTGTAAAATTTCCAAGTAAATAGATATCATTGGGGAATGGAGAATGATGGGAGTATTTAGCCTCTATTGTTGATTTCTACTTTCTACTTTTGTTTTTGGGATAATAGGGTTGGTATTTTGTGTGTGTGTGTGTGTGTGTGTGTGTGTGTGTGGCTAAATCCATGGTCAAGTGTTTTTAATGCTGTGAATATTATGTAGTTTCACTTATTTTAAAATATTTGCTGGGGTGCCTGGGTGGCTCAGTCAGTTAAGTGCCCAACTTTGGCTCAGATCGTGATTTTGCAGTCTGTGAGTTCGAGCCCTGTGTTGGGCTTTGTGCTGACAGCTCAGAGCCTGGAGCCTGCTTCAGATTCTGTGTCTCCCTCTCTCTCTCTGCCCTTCCCCTACTCAAGCCCTGTCTCTTTCAAAAATAAATAAACATTAATTTTTTTTAATTTTAAATGTTTGCTAGTATTTTGTGCATTCTTTGTTATTATGGCCACATAGTTATAAATATTTCGATCAGGCTTGTTAATTGTATTGTTAAAATTAATGCTTTTCTTTTTTAAATCTATTTGAGCAATTAGATCCTGAGAGAAATGGATTAAATTTCCACTATATCTTTTAGCTTTCTCATTTTTTCTTGCATTTGTATCAGTTTTTTGCTTGTTTAACAACTTTATTATTTGTTTCAAAAATTTTGTGTACTTTTATATTGCTGTCATACTGGATTGATAGTTTATCTGTGTGTAGAATTCTAAATTAAGGATTTTCTCTTAAAACTTGACCAAAATAATTTTATTTTCTTTTGTCACTCCTTGTCATAGATGAGGATTCAATACTGAATTGACTTTTTCCTTGGAAAGGAAATTTTCTTTTTGTTTTAAAGTATATAGGACTTTTTATTCAACCTTGAAATTCAGATATTTCCTTAGCCCGAACACTCACTATGAATTTTGAAGATGTTCTCCTGCTTTGGAAAAATATAGACAGTACTTTATGTAGGGGAAGCAGAGTGCTGCTTCTCTGGAGCAGATGATTGGCATAATTGTTTCTCCTTTAATAAATTACTCTGCTATTTCTTTACATTGTTTTCTTAATTTCTTTTTTTCAGTAATTTATTACTAATGTATAGAAACACAAGTGATTTTTGTGTATTGATTTTGTGTCCTGCATATTTACTGAACTTATTTTACTGCGTTCTAAGTGGTTGTTTGTTGTTGTTGTTGTTTGTTTTTGTCATCTTAGGATTTACTACATGTAATGTCATCTGCAAACACACATTTTACTTCTTTCTTTACAATTTGAATGCCTTTTGTTTATTTTTCTTGCCTAATTGCTCTGGCTAGGACTTCTAGAAATATGTTGAATAAACTGGGCAAGAATAGGCATTGCGTGTCATCTGTAAGCGATGAATTACAGGAATCTACCCCCAAAACCAAGAACTGAATACACTTTATACTGTATACACTTTATGAATATACTTTATACTGTATACACTTTATGTTAGCCAACTTGACAATAAATTACGTGAAAAAAAAAAAAAGAAGAGGCATCTTTGTCTTGTTACTGATCTTAAGAGGAAAAGTATTCAGCTTTTCACTGTTGAGCATGATGATAACTGTGGGCTTGTCATATATGGGCTTTTTTTTTGTTTTGTTTTGTTTTGTTTTGAGAGAAGTGAGTGAGGGGAAGAGAGTGATGGGGAGAGAGAGAGAGGGAAGTGGGGCTCACTTGGAGCTCATACCCAAAGTGGGACTTGAGTTCACCCAAAGTGGGGCTTGAGCTCATCTGAAGCAGGGCTGGGGCTCACTCAATATAGGATTCGAAATCACAAACTGTGAGATCATGACCTGAGCCGAAGTTAGATGCTTAATGACTGAGCCACCGAGGTACCCACATGGTCTTTATTTTGTTAAGGTATGTATTCTCTGTGTCCAATTTGTTGAGAGTTTTTATCATTAAAGGATGTTGAATTTTGTCAAATGCTTTTTTTTTGCAATTATCGAAATATGATTTTTATCCTTCATTTTGTTGATGTGATGTATCACATTTATTGATTTTCTTATGTTTGAACTATCAGTGCATCTCAGAAACAAATCCCACTTTGATCATAGTGTATGGTCCTTTTAATGGACTGACAAATCTGTTTGTTTAATGTTTTGTTGAGGATTTTTACATCTATAATTTTCTTTTCTTGTGCTATCCTTGTCTTTGATAGCAGGATAACATTAGTCTTGAAAAATGAGTTTAGGATTGTTGAGAAGGATTGACATTACTTATTCAAATATTTGGTAGAATTTGCTAGTGATGCCATCTGGTCCTGGACTTTTCTATGCTGGTAGGTTTTTGGTTATTGATTCAGTTTCTTTACTAGTAATTGATCTGTTCAGATTGTCTTTCTTCATGATTCAGTCTTGTTGGGTTATGTGTTTCCAAGGAATGTATTCATTTCCTCTGGGTTACCTATTTTGTGGTATATACCTGTGTAATTTTATATGATCCTTTGTATTTCTTTGTTATCAGTGATAAGGTCTCTTCTTTCATTTCTAATTTTGAGTGTTCTCTTTTTTCTTATTCTAGCTAAAGGTTTGCTAATTTTGTTTTGTTTTGTTTTTTTTTTTTCAAAGAACCAGCTCTTAGTTTCACTGATCTTCTCTAGTGTTTTTTTAGTCTCTATTTCATTCATTTCCACTCTGACCTTTGTGGTTGCCTTCTACTAACTTTGGGCTCAATTTTCTTTTCTCTTTATAGTTTCTTGAGGTGTAAAGTTAGGTTGTTTTTTGAGAATTTTCTTTTTTCTTAATGTAGAAATTTTTTCTTTTTAGAACTCCTTTTGCTGCATCCCAAAAGTTTTGATATGTGTTTCAATTTTTATTTGTCTTGATATTTTTTTATTTCCCTTTTGATTTCTTTGGTCCATTCATTATTCAGGAGCATACTGTTTAATCTCCACATTTGTGGATTTTTTAGTTTTCCTCTTGTCATTGATTTCTACTTTCATACCATTGTGGTCTGAAAATACGTTTGATATGATTTAAGACTTCTTTTGTGGCCTAACATATTATTTATCCTGGAGAAAGTCCCATATGTGCTTGAGAAGAATATATATTCTGCTGCTCTTAGGTGAAATGTTGTGTATATGCCTCTTAGGTCCAATCTGGTGTAATGTATAGTTTAAGTCTGATGTTACCTTACTGATTTTCTCTCTGGATGATCTATCCATTGTTGAAAGTAGGGTGTTGAAGTCCCATATTATTATTATATTTCTGTCATTTTCTCTCTTCCTATCTGTTATTTGCTTTATATAGTTAGATGTTCTGATGTTGCATATAATATTTACAGTTGTTATATTCTGTTAATGAATTGACCCCTTTATTATAATCTGATGATCTTTGTCTCTTGTTACAGTGTTTGGCTTGAAGTCTATTTTTTAGGAAAATTCACTT